GTAGCAATGCTTACATATGCAGAACATCCTGCACACAAAGGCATGGTGCCCTTCTCCACTTCAGCCTTCTCAGAGGCTTCCCTTATCCCAACACTCCTCCTTGGGCTGTTCTCAGCACAGATTCAGCCCACCAGCTCATACAGAGATTTTCGACCGTCGCAGTAGGCACACATGCCCTTTGCATCGATGTTCGTGTAGGCGCTCTTCAGGCCTTGACAATCTCCGTAAAGGTGGATGTGATCTCCCCGCTGAGATGCAAAGAAGGGGCCCCGAAACTTCACATAAGCTTCACGAGGGGTCTGAGTGTTGGCATCTCGTGTCCTTCGCCGCGTCTGACGTACAGGAGGTGGCGGTTCTTCCCAAGAAGAGGCCGACCTATCCAGCGAGGGAACCGGACCGCGCCCTTCTGGAGCGGATGCAGGGCTGTGCCTTGGAGCTAGCTCAGGTGTCATAGGGCCATTCTGTCCCAAACCATACGAACCCAGCTCCTGCTGCACAGCCTGTTGCAGTCGCCGTAGCCGCCGAGCATTCCTTGCCTCCGAGACTGAACAATCCCTCTTCAGAGCGTACCACTCGAACAGCCACTTGATCGCCTCCCATGCACCAATCGCAGCCACCAAGCTGACAAAAACCAGCGCATAAAACTCCCAAGCAACACTGATTTGTATCCCTCCAACATCCTCAGCAGGAACATTCGAACTTCGCTTTGTCGAGGCTCCACGAGTACCCTGAACCAACCAACCCAAAAGCAACACCAATCTAGCTATCACCCCAACCACCCCCGGTGTTGTAGTGTGTGCCGTTGCTGCAGTGCTGCCTGTTGCTGGTCCCGGCTGCTGCTCTCTTGGCGAAGTTGTTCCCAATCCCCACATACGGCAAAGCTCCAGGAGTCTTGGCTTCGAGAAGGCCTTTGTACCTAAGTCTCCTAATTGAGAAACACCAGGGATATGTCGAAGGGTAATCTCCTTGAGACGCACCGCCTCACGAAGATGAAAGGCACGAACTCGTAGGTGACGAGTTTTCCAAGTTCCAGCTGCCTCGGAACACAGTCCTACAGCAGCCTGATTGTCGACGTAAAGTCCCAGGCGAGGAGGGTCCGGCCTGATTTCGGAGGTAAAAGATGAGAGTCCATAGACCATCTGGATGGCATTGACAGCCTCTATGAGCTCTGCCTCGGCAACAGACAGAGAAACCAGTGGTTGTCTCCCACATCGCCAAGATATGGGGCATCCCAGATAGCAAGCCAGCGAGCAACCGATGCTCCGCCCCCCTTGGGGGGCGAAGCTGGCATCACTGTAACCCTCCACATCATGGTTGTGGGTTGTCGGCTCGTAGAACAAGAACCAATCGGCCGTCGCCTTCAAGTAGCCCAAGGTTCTCATGCCGATGCGCTCCACAGTCTCAGGGTCCCTCACGCACAGACTGCTCATGGTGGCAACTGTGTGTATCAAGTCTGGCCGGCCCTTTGTTGAAAGCCAGAGAAGTTCGCCAGTGATTTTCTGAGCACGCCTCAAGGTCTGCTCGTCGTACTGCTTCTCATCAAAGTTCACCTCCCCCAGCAGCCATGACTGAGGACATGGCGTCCCGTGACCATGCCCCTGAACATCATAGTGTCGAAGTACCTCAGATATGTAGCCAGTCTGCCCGATCTTGAAGCCGTTGAGCGTCTCGTAGATCTCTAGCCCCAGGAAACGAACTGGCTGTTCCATGGATGCCCATGTCAAATCCGAGGCCTTCCATTCTTGTGTGATCCACCCATGAGTAGCCGCAACGACCTCCTCCTCACCCAGATACAAGATGTCGTCAACATAAACGTTGACGAATGCCCGAACTTCTTCCTGCATCGTTCCATCTGGGCCAGGCGTCATGACCACCACACTCCAAACATTCTCATCCGCCCTGTGCTGTCTGAGGAAGGCATCCAGCTCTCCCACCTTGAATCGA